AAAGTTCCTCTCCCGCATTTCACATTTCACCCACTTTATAAAATTAAATTCGCCTGAGAAAAAATTGTGAAATTATCGTATAAATCGATATTTATTGTACATCTGGCAACGTGGCCAATACTTGTTCATACGCAAGGAACACAAATCGATAATTTTGTATCTGGAACGCAAAGCCAGACAAATATATATGAAAATCAAGAAACAATAAAAGACGGCATACAGCTGTATCATTGTTTCAAAAATTGGTACCTCTAAACAATCATTTACCTATTAAAACCATCTCTAAAACAGAGTAGCTAGATTTTTTTTACGGTGACATCTTCTTAAAAATAGATGAACTACATGAACTATAAACAATTACAGGAATTCATAGAAAATCTCTAATTTGACAAATAAATTTATCAAATATTTGTTAATCGTATTTCCAGTTAGATTTGAAAAATACGCAATAAAATTTAGAAATATTTTGGCGGGATACTTAGAAAAATATGTAGAATGAAATCTCCTACTTTTTAACCTGTGGTTTTAAAATCACTTTTTATGATTTTTTTTAAAATTCAGTGTATAAACAGGACAAATAAAAAATAGGAGATTTCATTCTCCAAACCTTATACTTTAAGCTGGTAGAAGATTCATTTTAATACATTTAGCGGGATTTAAATGCAATCGGAAATGGTGAACCCTTGCTTCTTATATGAAAAATACAGTGATACTGCGCCCTTAAGGTCTAAAAATGTGTAAGAGGTATTTTATTGTATATTCGTTAATTCGATAATCCGAACAAGGTCTGAAAATTAGGTGTTCGGATTAAAGAGGTTGCACTGTATATCTTATTTTTATGACAATAAATCTATCCCGTATTAAGTCAGTAATTGTTTTACCATGTTATCCGATGTTACCATAAGTCACAAACGAAAAGACATTTGAAAAATTACAGTTACAGTTTACTTTGCAATAATAAAATTAAAGAGACAAGCAATGGTGAGGATCACTTTACAATACGGCGTATTGTCACCCTGAGTCTGGATGACATTCCTCATTCGATTTGGCATAGAAATCAGCAAGGTCTGAATGTTTGCTTGAGGAAAAGTGGTCCATTCCTAAATAAGGGCCAACCGAAGCTATTGGCGTGTTGCTGGAACAGATATGCGACGTCTTACACGCCTTTTGAGCTGGTCCCAAACATACTCAATAGGATTAAGATCCGGACTTAGAGGAGGCCAATCAATTTTAGGAATACCAACCTCTTCAAGGTATTGTGTTACCATCCTTGACGTGTGTGGTCGCGCATTATCCTGCTTTAGCAGAAAACCATTGCCAACAAACCCAGCATATGGCATTACATGCTCTTCTAGGATCTCTGTTATGTTTCGTCGTTATGCTAATACGACTCTGTCAATAATAACGAGATCCGTATGTGCCTCAAAAGAAATTCATGTCCATAACAATACTAATCCATCCCCAAAAGCAACTCGAGGTGATCGAGTACAGGCAGCATAACATTCTCCAGCTCTTCTGTAAAGAAACTGTTTTACAAAAATAAATTAAAACCGTGGATAAATGGAGAACTGATATCCTTGATTAGACATAAATAGTATATTATGCAACGATCATGTAATGATGGTTATTAATACACGAGCATTAACCGGGATACGAAACGAGCCAAAGGCGAGTTTCGTATGGTTTATGCGAGTGTTTTAATAACCATTACATGAGAGTTGCATACGCTATTTTTTCTACACCCGATAAATAATCAAGACCTATAAATATTCTATTTATATTGGTATTGAACACAATAACAGTAATTACTCGTATTTCTATAAAAAATTCTACAAAATTGTAATTAATGGTATTACCTTGGGTACTGGTATTATCACAGATTTTTGGGGCAAAATATTTTGTACTGCATTTTCTCCTTTCTCCTATATGTGTGGAGGAGTGTTCTATATCGCTGATATCAGACATTTTAATATTATAATTATCGAAGTTTAGCTATCTACGAAAATTTAATACGTTTTGACAACTAAAACAATTACATAGGAATTTAGGACAAACGTCAAACATCATGCTTGATTGAAAAATTGTAGGTTTCTATTGATTAAAAATCTGTATCATAATGAAAAATCTGTATCATAATGGGTAATCATTATGAAACGGATTATGGGCATATAAGTGCATTATTATAATACGGGTGTAGAAAAAGTAAATTATGGCGTAAATATAAGTGATCAAATAATATTGCCGATCTAGAACATCACAGAAATTTTGCCAAAGACCTAAAGAATTCTATAAATGAGGCGCCGGAAGAATATGAAGAGTTGATAGCATGCAGCAAAAAAATATATTCAATCTTCACTGTCCTCAAAAGTATATATTCCATTATTTAACAAAGATGAAAGACCCTGTCAAAATAATTTTGAAGCGGCTGAACTTCTGGCTAATACCTTTACAAAAGTGTTCTCCAATGAACTTCAGGATCAATTACCAGATATCTTATCCGTAAGAATCCCTTCTTCCTTAGACCAGTCGAAAATTACTCGAAAATTAATCGACATTACTCGAAAAACAATCAAAAATTTTTTGAAAATTACTAATGTGCCTTGTTATTTAAGGTTTCCTGTACAATTGGAATTGTTGGGAATGACTGAAGAGTATATCAATATAAATATAGGACTGAGATAATACTCAGATCATTCTAAAATGTCCAGTTGGCAGCAAAATCGTATACAGACTACGCTGATACCTGAAAGGACTTAATTTCTACTTAAAGTACAAGGGTACTTCCAAAATTAAGGTCTTCTATTGTGGGAAATTAAAAAATCAGTCTATTTTCTATAATTTTTGCATAATTTAAAAGGTTGTAGATGCTGTGACAGCTTTTGTATGCTCATGTCATACCAGCTCCTAGCCATGTCCTTGGTAAAGCGAACCTTGGGTTGAACCTCATCTTTCACTTCGTGTTCATATATACATAGTATGTTCTAAAATTAAGTACCACGTTGTTTATATCTCTTATCAAAGTTGTTTTCATCCCTTTTGAAAATTATATTACGAGGATGGGATGAAAAGTTTCCGGCCTAACCTATAGTAGGCCCGATTTGCTGTCCTGTTCCAACGTGTCTGTGTAGCCTTGCTTGTCATCAGTATACACTTGAAGTTTAAAGTGAGTACGTCAAGTAGTTCGTGTCCTGGGTATTTTAAAAGCTTATAAAGTGCGCCACTTTTAAAAGATGGAAAAAAACGAGAGTGGTGATAAAATATTTCCATATCAAAGGATAATCGCCGACAGAAATAAAAGCTGAACTAAATGCTACACTAGGGGAATCTACTCCTTCATTTACCACAGTTAAACCTGGGTAGCGGACTTTAAACGTGGTCGTACTAGCACTGATGATGCTCCGCGTTCTGGTAGGCCAAAAACGGTAACTTCTGAAGAAATGGTGCAAACCGTTTACAAAATAATTCTAGAAGATCGCAGATTAAAATTGAAAGAGTTAGTTGAGGCTGTAGGCATATCAAAAGAGCGAGTTCACTATATTTTGTTTGAAGTTTTAGGTATGAGAAAGCTATCCGCCCGATGGGTCCGCGTTTTGCTCACGTTAGATCAGAAGCTCACGCGGCTAATCATTTCAGAGGAGAATTTGGCACTGTTTAGACGTGATCCAGGGGACTTTTTGCGTAGATTTATTATGAAACATGGGTTTATCATTATACCCCTGAAACTAAACAACAGTCCAAACAGTGGACGTCAAAGGACGAACCAGTTCTAAAGAAGTCAAAGGCAGTACCGCCTGCTGGAAAGGTCATGGCAACGGTCTTTTGGGATGCTAAAGGGATACTCCTAATAGATTATCTCGAAAAGGGAAGAACAATAAATTCCAAGTACTACAGCGACTTACTGGACCAGCTTAAACAGAATATAAGCGTAAAACGCCCTGGTTTGGCAAAAAGAAAATTCTGTTTCATCAGGACAATGCACCTTACCACAAGTCTGTTCTTGTAATGGCTAAAATTCATCAGCTAGGCTTTGAACTGTTAAACCATCCTCCGTATTCGCCAGACCTAGCCCCGTCAGACTTTTACTTGTTTCCAAACTTAAAAAAATTTCTTGCTGGAAAAAAATTTTCCTAAGTGATTGCAGCCACAAATGACTATTCTGACGAGTTGGATAAATCAGACTACAGTGACGGTATTAAATCGCTTGAACATCGTTGGGTTAAATGTATTACCCTACAAGGGGACTATGTAAAAAAACAAATTCTTATTCAGTCACTATTGTGTTGCGTTCTATGTTAGGCCGGAAACTTTTCATCCCATCCTCGTACATATTTCAATTTATAAATACATTTGGGCTAGTCCGATTCTGGTCAGTGAGCACTTGGTGAGGCAATTTGGCCGCGCTTAGTGCGACCCACTTCTCGTCGTCTTATTTACATATGGGTGAGCAATCTATATAACTATATATCATTGTATTATCACTAATTTTTAGAGCTGATAAATTTTACAGCAACACGCTCATTATTTGATCATGATTATGTTTAAATGGTAGTAAAGGTACTCGAAATGATTACTCTTAGAGCCCTGACGTACTATTTAAAATGTGCAGTCTTATAACAGCTTCGATGTCACTTTCTGACACGCTGTGGCCTTATGGACATATCCTTTGCATATCTCCCCTATCACCCCTAGAAGTATATCTCCTCTATAACCCCTAGAAGTATTACCAATTTCGATTCACCCTGTATAGAATATTTCTATTTATGCCTCTATCGAATTTTTTTCATTTAGTTTTATGGATTTGGTAGTAACTACACAATTAGCAAGTCTCAGTTTGATTGTTAAACTTCTGTATTAATCTGTATATTTTTTCATTGTTTCCAAGCGCCACTTTAGGAACAGCACTGTTAGTTAGAATCCAATAGTGAATGATTAAATAAGAATCGATTGATGTACTTGTAACTGTGTATTATTTAATCTCTAACATATGTATTTCGTTTCAGGTATTGCACAACAGATCGTCGAAAAACCACTTGCAATTACAACGCCATCAGAAGATCTTGTAGGGAACGAGGGTGTCTCTACGAAGATCTCGAATTTCCTGCAACTTCCAAAGCACTCTATCACCACAAGAAACCGCCCTTGAGTCCTATTGTTTGGATGAGGCCACACGTAAGTACTTTTTAGTACCTACACTACATAATCATAAATTACAATTATTGGTAATTTTAATATAAACAAATTATGATACATGATGGTGTAGCGTTTATTTAATTTATTTATAGTTTCTTTATTTAAAACACTTTATTTATAATTCATTTATAACGTACTAATTAATTTATATAATACTTAGGCTCTATTTCAACTCACAATCCTAATTTATTTATTACAATTTGTCTTTAGTATCCAACACTTAATTTAAAATTTGTCGTCTGTCGACAAGTCGCGCTATTTATATAAAAATGTAACATTTTCGAAAGAACCCTCTGACTAGAAGTTCACTCTAAAAATTCCGGAAATTATTCTCCACGTGTCAGACTGCGATGGAAAACATTCGGTTCTGTTTCTCGAGTCACGCGGGTACGGTAATAAACAAAGAACAGGGTTGGCTTCGTGTCGCAATGGTTTGTACAATCGTACGTTAGGAATTCATGTTCGCTTAAATTTTTAATTCCCCAACATCAACAAATTTCGAGTAAAAAAACGAATGGTTTGGTTTCAGTTTTCTGATACAAAGATGGGATAATTCTGATAGATTATTTGTAAGAAAGTAAAACTATATACTGAGCTGGTAATTACGCTAAAAAATTGTAGAAGAGAGTTGCAGAAAACTTGCCAACTATGCTTGTTAAAAACAACATACATATTTTTAACCGTAAAACAGGTATGTCACTGTACAAAATTGCAAACAAGAAGTGCATATATTCAGTTTTTGACGTAAGCAAACGAAAATAATAAATTAAGTACCCCGTTGTCATGTTGCCAGATTGTTTTGTTGCAAATATCCGATGTCCCTACATTAACATTCATTAGTCCGATCGATCGTCAGACGGCACGATTTGACATCACCGTCTTCACAGCTAGAAGTTAAAAAATATTTGTTAGACATTAATTCCTTCAATATATTTAAAATGTTTACTACGTTATGAGTTAAAAGATTGGCATGAGGGGTTTTTTTAAAATAAGATAAATTCAACCCCACTGTTGTAAGCAAAATCTACAAATGTTTTTCAAGAATGATGAAAAAAAGAATCTTGCAAACTTTACATTTTAATCGAGCTGATTACTTTAACCTTCTGCAAGAATCATCAGAGAGAACTTCTAGATTTCATATCAACATTTAAACCCTCAAAAAATTTGTTCACAAAATCAGCAAGCAGAAGAAGCCATCTATTTTCCAGTGTTCTTTTTTTTGCAATGCTCCTGCTCACAAGTCATTGTTTGCGATGCAATAGCTATTTGTATTACTAGGGAGGAAAGTGCCATTTTTCCTCCCGCAGGATGAAGCGGAGGGCAGAAAACATCCAAGGGAGGAAAAGGCACTTTACTCCCAAGTAATACATATGATTTTTCCGCCTCCCTCAAATAACAAGTCATTTTTAAATAATTTTCTTCGGCGCATTGCTTGAAATGTAAATACTGTTTTTCGTATTTTTCTTTAGATTTTTGGGGTAATAGAGATTGTACTGTTGCATTAACCTGTTCCAAAATATCCGGTGGTGTATTAATTATATCTTCAAATTCGCTTAAATCACTCATTTTTTAAATATTATTTTATATTTTGTAGATATATTATAACGTAACACACTTTGAAACTGATCTGTCAATCGACCATAGCATGCTATAATATTTCTGTCCTAAATTCGAAAATCGGATGAATCTATGAATTGAAGTCAAATTATTAATGTAAAAATCGTTAAATTAAAATAACAATTTACTGGTTTTTACTATTTTGCAAAATACAGGGTGTTCTATAAATAAACGGTAAAATTTATACTTATATAATAGAATATAGTTTAGGTCGTCAATGCCGTATGAGCTATTTCATTTATGACATACCATGACGTCACTTTTACTTTTTCTCCCTAGGGAGTAAAAGTACTTTTCCTCCCTAGGGAGGAAAAGTACGACTTTGCTCCCTGCAATGAGGCCAGAAAATGTATACTTTGGATAGAGGTAGGCGGAAAAATAATTTATTTGATTGGTTTTCAATTGGTTGACCATCTTTTTCGGAATTAACATCATAAAATATTATTTGTTCTCAAAACTTAAGAAACATTTGAAAGGAAAAATATTTTCGACCCATATATGAGTAGTAGTTTAGGTTAGAATATTGGTAAAATCATATATTATTCGATTTTTTTTTAATAGAGAATTTTAAATCAAGACAATATATCATTAATAAGCAATATTAATGAAATAGGTGATTGATTAGGTAAAATTTCATCCATTTAAGGTAATTGACTGTTAGATCAATTATTTCACACAATTTTTCGAAAGTTATCGAATACGATAGATTAGTTTGGTGAAGAAATCTGTAGATATAATATTACAATTTCAAAATGATTTTTAGTGAATCATCTCAAAAAAATTTACTTGCATAATTTTTCCTAAGATTATGAGAAATAAATAAAAGCATTCATACTCAAGATTAAAAAAAAATTAGCACGTTTACTTTATATTTATGTATATCTAGAAATAGAAGTAGAAACTTAAACCATAAAAAAATATTGTGGATTTATAGAGGTTCCCAATATTGATTACTGCACCATGGAAACATATTTATATACATACTGCTATGTTGAAATCGAAACCGTAATATATGAAAACGAGATGAACAAGATAAAAACAATTTATGTTCTTGTACATTAGGGTTACATATTATGTTTAAGCCACTTACTCACTTACTAGTACATGGGAAACTATATAAGAAGTTTAAAGACTAGTAATGGTCGTTGACACAAGTACAAACAGAACAAAAAAGTACCAGCGTTGATAAAAATGGCGAAATATTACCAGACTAATGCAATGATTTGCAATTAGTCGTTTACCTTTTGAAGCAATTTTACTAAAAAAATGATCTTCACAAAGATATCGAGTTTTATTATCAAAAGTTAAATTTAAATTCTTAAACCAGTTCTATCGAATTTTAACATCAGTAGGAAAATAAAAAAAGGTTTTTTTTTTAATAACAAATTTGCTGAATATTAGAATACTTATTTAAACAATTAGAAGCTGAACAAGAATACTTAGCTTTACCCTTCGATGCTTTACCCGGATCAGACATGTTTTGATATTGTTATAAATATATTTAAAAAAGAATTGAAAATAGATTCAAAATTAAATTACCTATATTTCGTTAAGGCTAAGGAAACAATCATAAACAAAGTCCTTAAACAAATCTAACACCTAATATTAAATTAAATTGTTAATACTTACTAATTACATCAAATCATCGCTTATAAATCTTCTTGACCTAAACATAACTTACCTACCTATGGAACTTACATCATAAAATAACTTTTATTTATTTATATTATTGTAATTTGCCCATTTCGCCTGCCGCCTGCCATTCCATTTTTCAGTTTTACAAGGTTATCAAACCTCCAATCAATAATATGCCATTGTATGGATGATATCGAGCTTGACAAAAAACAAAATAAAATGTTTGAAATAATTCTAATCTCATGAAAGTTTGTGGAAACTGGCAACATCGCTTTCATCTTATTGCGATGGTGGCTCCAAATAGTATGCTTAGGAACTAAAAGTGTTACCAATGCCGTGCATTTAAACAATTTATCTTACATAATTTATCTATGATTTCCACAGACAAACAATTAAAAATAAAAAAAAATTAACCAACACTTTCAAAAGTAAATACCATAAATATAACCCTCGTAGTATGTTCAATTAAATTGTTCCTTTAAAGTATTAATATAAAATTGTGAAAATGTTTTTTTATGTTTAACATATTAAGTTGAGTTTGAAATATTTAAAATATTCTTTCCACATTGAGTGCAAGCACAAAAACAAAATCGCGTGTTTTTTTTATTAATAGCCACAGTAAAATACCCTAAGCAAAATCAAGATAATACCCAACGTCTTCATCACGGCGAAAGAAAAATAATTTTGTGGTAGAAAATGGCATTCCACATAAAGTTTGTCGATTTTTGCGGTTGCGCCGATAAGATCTGGGCTCATGTTCTGTTGGCTCTGCCTCCTCTACCGCCGACACCTCGCGATTCCATATCACTCGTTAGCGAAGAAAAAAATCTTCAATTCTGTTATTATCTTCACGGTATCTTTATGGTTGCGCGCAGATTTTGCAGGAAGTCACTACTTGTAATTGTGGTGTTGCTGCTTCATTTTGATATTTTTAGTACGGTGGCGTTTTTCAGATTTCGAGGATTAGAAATCGTGGAATGCGAACGTTTACGGAGAACGGCTGGTTTTTATCGTTGAGGAAGCTAATAGATACGAAATAAGTCGATAAAGAACTAATTTTTATTTTTATGAGGTGTTTACCTGTCAATTTTAGTCATCTCTTACTGAGAATCTATATTCTGGAAATTTGAATGAGAATTATATCCACCCAAAATAATTTTTATGAAAAAATGTAAACAATTGGCGACTTTTGTTTATAATTAATTATACACTAATCACTCTGATAAAGAAAAAAGAAAAATGGTACTACATTTTTATATTTTTGTAAATTATAATTAAGTATAAAGTTAGGTATACAATATAAAAACCCATATAATAAGTTATGAAAGAAATTTAAAAAAACCGACTTCAAAATCGTGCGGATGCCCTTAAAAAATTAAATTATTAATTTTTGCCTTACTGGATACTATTACAGAAGTACAGTGTCGTATTGGGACCCATATGGCCTACCGGTCCAGGAGGGAGAAGGGTCGTTCCACTTATACATTTTTTCATGATCCAATTCATTGAACAACAAAAAAAGATCCTCTTTGCACACTGATTATTTTTCGGAGGTCGCCACGTATTACGGTTTTTTTATTCTTCTCAAGGGCCTACTGCCTGAAGGACGGCTCACTGCTTGAACAAGGGCCTGCCGGTCTTTTGACCGGTAGACCGACGGCCCAATCCGACACTGCAGGGGTAGAAGATTTGAATGTCATAATAGATTCCACCCAAAGACATTATTTGATTCCACCCTTTCTTTTCAACCTCAGTCAATAAAGCGTTAAGAATTTTGGGTTTCCTACATTTGATTTTCAGAACTTGATGTTTAAAGATTCTTTATTGTTCTTCAGTTAGACCTTATATTGAATATGCCTCTTGTGGATGGAATGCCTTTTATGTATTCATATGGTGTGGAAAAGCAAAATGAAATAAATTCGGCAATAAATAAGTGGGGGGCGGATTCGGAAAAACACTCGGACACGTCGATTAGTATTTATAGTTGCGCATTTTTTAAAAACTTTGTGTCATGTAATAGTAGCAATACCAACGTTCTTATTTTAAATGCAACACCCTGTATATTTTTGAATTTTTCAGAAAATTCTAGACAAATTTTATGAACTATGTCTTATACCTACCTGTTTCGGAAATATTAAAACCTAGCTGACTTAAGAAGATGAATAACGCTTGCGATTAAATCGGTCACTCCTGAGATCTTGAGTAACGTTAGAAGGCATTTTTATTTTAGATTAAGATGTTGCCAAGAAGTTCGCGGCGAGTATTTTGAACATCTTCTACAAAAGAGTGGCGTTTTTGTCAAAAGCAGGACATTTTCGTACTATAGGATTGAGCACAAGCAAGTCAAAAAGCGTGGAAAAGACGCATATAGCGAGCAACCCTATGCTAGAGCGAGTTATATGTCGTCATGTAAGTTGTGATTAAACTATAAATCAATATGATTTCGTGAAAAGTCGCTCAACAGTCACCAACCTTCTGACCGTTACCCAATATATTGCTAAATCTATTGAAAACAGCTATTATTTACACAGACTTATCTAAGGCCTTCGACAGGCTTGATCATGGCATTCTGCTCAACAAACTTGTAGCTTTTGGATTATCTCCCTCTTTAATTTCACTGTTTCAATCATATCTATGGGATCGAAAGCAATATGTCCAGCTCAATGGTTTTAGATCTGCTGAATAAAGTACTTCTGCCGATATTCCACAAGAGTCGAATACTGGGACCCCTCCTTTTCATTATGTTCATTAATGATATTGCAGATGTTATAAATGTAAATTTGCTTTTGTATACTGATGATCTAAAACTATACTGTCTCGTGAAGAAGATAGGTGATTGCAAGAAAATCTTAGCAAACTTAACAGGGGTTGTTCCTTTAAATCATTTTCTACTTGTTATTTGCACCTCAGTATTGATCTTCCCCATCCATTCGCCAGATATGTCCCAGTTATCTTATTATTTGTGCTTTCACTATTTTTATTACCATAGGTTCTTTATACAAGTCACATAGTTCTTTATTACAACTTCCTTCTCAAATTCCATTTATTTTATTCTCCCTAAAAATCCGTCTCTCTATCTTTCTTTTCCGTATCTTCAGTCTATTTGTCATATCTTTGGTTAGGGTCGATATCTCACAAGCCATGATTACGGTCGATCTAATTACAGTTTTATCTACTCTTACTTTGGTATTTAACACATTTTTTGATTTAAATAAACTTATTACACATATTTCCATTCTATATTCTTTCTTTTATTTCTTTTTTTCCCGTTCTTCATGAAACTAGAACCCCAAATATTCATACCTCTCTATATATAGGGTATGAAGCAATTTTTAATTTACAAAAAACCTATTTTCATATACTTTGTTTTTTGTTTTTGGTCCTTAATAATTTCTAGACCTGAAATTGCATGTGTAAAATTATGATGACTTTTCGAATATATAGTTTTATTCGTTTGTACTCGTACTTATATACGTTTTTTGGCACATAATTCAGTATGAAATTAAACAGCACTCACTATAAAAACTGGGTTTCCCTGCCGCAACCTCGTTGTACATCAAAGCTTTGTGATAAATTACCCTCCAACTTTTATTTTATTTAAAATGTCTCTTAATGTCTAACATGGTGTTTCGTTTTATTTTTAAAATGTATATGTGTATATTTAGTATCATTTAGCTTAATTTATTAAGAGAGTTCTGAAGTTTTCTAGCTATATCTTCATGATCTCTTATTGTCAGGATGGCCGTGTTATCTGCAAACTTTTCTGTTGTATACAGGGCCCAATATACGTTTTTTTGTGGTATTCCTACTTTTATTTTTTTTAGATCCTGGTAGAGTTTCCCCTGTGGGTATTATTTGGGTAATGACTAAGCCACGTGTTACGCTTTTTCTGAAGCTCGTGCTACCTCTAAGATGATAATAGAGCGAACTTTTCTTCTAATAATTTTTTAATAATGGGGGTTATTCTGCTGACTTGGTCAATGGACGAATGTTTCTATCTAAAGCTAAATTGATTTGTTAGAATTCTTTATTGCTTCTATGATAAGTTTCAATCTCTTTAGAAATAATTTTTTAACTTTTGAAATTCCAGGAAGAGATGAAATTGGTCTACAAGATGAAACTTATTTTATTGATTTGTTTTATTTAAGTATCATTATTACCTCGGCCTCTTTCCTTATCTTAAGTACATACTTCAATCTTCAAGAAATGAGTTGTTTTAATATCTCTCTAGTAATTACACCAAATCCTGGTTCTTCTGTCGAATTAATATTTTCTTATATTTCGGTAGTTATTCCTTTAGATTTTAGTCTAATTTCACCCTCTTCTTGATATGTTAACGTTAAATAGGCCGAACTCCGATCTATATCGTTCGGACAATGCCAATATCATCCGGGAAAATGAAAATTATCTAATTTTCCTTTAATTAATACATCCCCGGTTCCTATTATCAAATAATCTCCACACTTTTTTTTTAGGAAATTTGTCAGCGGCCTCGTTTTATGGGCGATCCAAACGATGAGAACGGCAAAAAATTTTCTGTGGAATCAGGAGAATTAGGAGACCAATGGCTATTAGCAGCTGTAGCATCATTAGCGCTTACACCAAAGTTCTTAGATAGAATAGTACCACCTGATCAGGGATTTGATACGGCTTATTCTTACTGCGGGGCTTTTAGGTAAGTTTATATACTTATTTCAATGAAACATAACCAAATCATATCAGAAAACGCTAAACGAAAAAAAAAATCTTTTTTTAACACGCAGCAAACGATTAATCGTAAATTGGAAAATTAAAAGACATCACAAAATAAAAACTCAAATTGGACTTAAATAAGACTGAAACTGTAACTCAAATGGGTTTATTATGTGGTGAGGAGAGGTTTTAGTTACCACGATGCTTTACAGTTGCTCAATTTAAATAACGCACGTTTTTTTGACAAATGACATTTTATTTTTTTATAAAGTAAAGTAAAACATATGTAAATATCATCCAGCCTTTCTACAGTTAGGTCATGGGGCGTCCATTCGTCTTATGTAAGATTTTTTTTACACTCCCAAAATAAATTCATTGCTCATTTTAGTACAAGATTCGACCCCAACTCGGTTTGAGCTTTGCTCGGAGCAGATTTTTTCAAAAACAATTTTTCATTTCTGGAATGTACTTCTAAATTATTTCGGCAATTAAATTAACAAATTTTTCTGAAATAAATCTTTTAGTTTATTTCTCCATTTCGTAATACTTTAATAGACAACTCGGTTTCATTCTCCACTATGAGAAGATCAACCGTAGATAGATCTCCTGCAGAAGAATGCGCATCGTCGACCAGAAACCCAATGAAGGACACTGACATCGGGACCTTTATCTCCATCCTCAGATACCGAATATAAATCTAATTAAATACGTAGAAAGCAGTCGCATGTAGTTCTTCTAAGAAACAAAGAAGGGATTATCATAAAGTATCCATTTTTTTTCTCATAACAAAATGCATGAAATTATCTAGATGGTTGCTTGCTTTAATTTGTTTAACAAGATCGCAAATTGCAAATAAAGATCGGCGATAGTAAAATGTTGGCTAATAGTGCGGGCAACGTTTGAGATCCTTCGTACAGCTCGTTTGACATGTCAACGGTATAAGATATGATAATCGGAGAGTTATGGCAAGTGCTGTAACGTGTTCGATGCTGTAATGTATTTAAATGCGGTACCTACGGAACTATACAGTCTATTTGTTAGACTTTGATATTACTTTTTCGTTGTTTGCCTTTTTTTAAATATACAGAATGTCCCATTACTGCGGAATTGATCGGTATTTCGATTTGTGGTATACACACGCAAACAAGTTCAAATTAGAAACTCATGCAAACAAAAGGGCTTCATTCAGGCCAATAAACTAGTTGTAGCTGATTGTAAATATACTTTAGATGAATTAGAAAAACTGAAAGAAGAAGAGAATAAGGATAAGCAGCCATCCGAAGATTTAAACTAGGTGAAGGAGGAAACAAGCCACCTAGACAAAATCCAGGAAGATTCAGTTTTTTTTCTATTTAATTAATATTCTAATTTTAACATTTTAAAATAAAAGCACATTGGCATGAAAACCATAATGAAATGACTTATTTTAAAGAATACTTTAAATTGAACTTTAAATAAAGTCCTCTTTTCTTAAATCTGCCTTTATGATTTTATTAGCCATGTAACCTACCGCACCCAGGTACCATAATCATTTACTAATTCCATTTTATTAAAAAAAAGTTGCATTCTTATTAAATTCAAAATCCTTCATTTAACAAAAATCTCCCAGATAATTAAATCTTATTTACGACACCTAATAAATAATATCCAATTTCTTACAAGTATCTGGGAACATAAGTTGCCACGAAGTAATAATCATTAAAACTCTTAACGCACTTATCTTAAGTCAGTTTTGAATAGGAACGTTGTTTTCGATACACAAACTTTCCAAGGCAAGTAATAAATCAGCCACCCCCTATCCACCTACATTCGTTCACTGACGTCACCAAAAAAACTAATTAAATCGTGTATAAAGATCCGATTAAAAAGGACTCAAAAGGCATTAAGAAATCAGACTCAGTCCAGTTGATTTCGAGCTCCAGTCGCACATTCTTCGAATCTAATATAATTTAAGTTCAGTACCTTTACCTAAACCCACGCAGTTCATATCCTACCTTTATCCGACGCCCTTTAGCACGACCAACTACCTTTCAAACGTTCCCACGTCTCGACGCTCGACGTCTTGACGCTCGACGTCACTACGTCATCTCTTTTATCCGACATCCCCATCCGACGCCCAATATCTCATCTGACGCCCTACGTCCTTACTTATCTACCTTCCTGCGTTTGGCGTTGTATGTCACGACGCTCCTTCTCCGCCACGCCATTTTAAATTTTGACGCCAACGTCTCAACGTCCCTGCTAATTATCCCTAATACAAAAATATAAAATATCTGAAATAGAAACAGACGATAATGTAAACCCAACGGTCTGCTTATCCGATGGTGAGTTAATAACAACCAAATTAAATTTGTAAAAATGGGAATTTATTGTTGAATAACAATGAGTATTATTGTGTAACTCATTATTATTCAATAATGGTAAATCTTTACATTTGAGGAATTTGTTGCTCGCCGACATCGCATTTAGCTTGTCCAGATGTGTACGCTATGAGCCATATTGCCTTCAAATTAATATATCACCGTAAAAGATAATAAGAGTCTGGTTACCGAACTGTCAATGAACCCTCGCAAATATCTACTAAATAACAGCTCAGCTGATTGGGGTAAATGACACATCGGACGACTAGACTCACCTTTATCCGAATATGCTTGATGTTACTACAGGGTTGGACTATCTTAGATAATTATCTCTCAATCTTCGCACCGCAGGTAGATCTGAACATAAGGGGTAGTTCGCTAGTATTGATCTGACACTATTCTAGTAGGACTACATCTACATAAAACCCCCCCTAGGTGAGGCTGAAACATAAGGGATATCCGCCTGTTATTGCAACGACGATATCTTGGTAAGTGCACCTATATAAAAAAGAAAACAACGAAACAAAGAATTATGAAAGACAGAGCAATTCTGAGGACGTCTGCTGTCTATTCTTAAGAATTGTTTTATTACAAATATTTGATGGCAAGTGGCCTGTGGCCTGCTGTTTGGGCGAGACACATGTGAGGTCTACCTATATTAAAAGTAATTTGTACATACCGAGTTTATTGGAGATGAAAAATAAATTAAGTTAAATATATTTTGAGCATTATTTCATTCACAAATTTGTATCTAAATTTTGCATCGAATCCTGGTTTATTTTAATTGACATTATCACAACGTGGGTATATAAATTATCAATTAATTAACTAGACGATCACTACACTACTAGAGGAAAAGGCCATATACAGTAAGTATGAATTTCATTGAATTTCACGAGGGGAGGGAGGTAGTTAAATTAAAATACGGGCTTTAATAATTAGCTACCAGACCGAGGGGTGGGCGGTCACAGCCACTTAACCTAAACTCTTACATACACCTATCCGAAACAAATTTTTTTTGTCAAAAAATCGCTCAAAAAACCATCCTTTAACTAGGAATGACTAGTAAAAGCTCCAGAAATGTGACTTTGGCACGTTTTAATCCTGAAAAAGATTTTACATAACAAAATAATAGTCAATCTAAATAATTTTTTGACATTCTACTGAAACTTCTACCAGGAAGCAACGCAACGTCTAAATAATGCTCATTTCCTTCTCACCGACAATACTAATTGAAATAACAAAACGAAATAAATCCCATTAGGCGGCTATCGGATTTTTTATCTGGAAAATATGAATAATTCATGTCGCCCTTTTGCCAGAGCTGAATGTTTGTTTACTGTTTTGTAGTTGGCGTTAATAAGGAACATAAATTTGCTTGATTTGTGTTGGCAATTGTTCATTCACCAAAGTGCGCGTAATTGTTTGAGAAAAAACGTGAAAAATATACTTAGAGAGAACGGTTCGAAACACGCAAGAATGTACAAGTTTTGAAATACAAGAAAAACAGCATAACGTATTTTTTCCATTGTTTCTCGAGATCTGGCTTTTTAACATCAATTATTTAAATAATTATTTTAATTTTCGCATAGTAGATGCTGCACTAGAAAATACACTGGGAAAAGTTAATAACATTAGATTAGGACACTTGAGTATAAAAATCTCGGAGAAGTTAATTTTATTTTTTATTTTAATCTAGACATACTATATTATAAAAAATCTAATACTCCTCCTCCCCAAGAAGGGTCGAGTGGCACGTTGCTGGAAAGGGATTTGAAAAGCTAAATTAAAGCATGTATCACACTTAATACTATAAATCTAAACATGTAAGGTTTAAAATGGAATTTGCAAACTATTAATTAATTAGATGACGATTAGATGCACTTTGTAATAAAGTCAATTTTTCCTCAACCAATTTATTTTCATTGTTCATTTTTAATAAATATTAAACGCGATTGAACTGTTGGTCCTGAGTTAATTTACAGATCCGCGAACGCCGATCGAGATATCGATGCGCGGTGGGACTGGCGTTGGTGGGGTCTCTGATATGGAAAGGCAATCGACAGTTGACCCAGGCCTGAGATTCAATTAAAATATTTAGTTCGATATAATACTTGATTTCCAGCAGTTTAGAATATTAGCCGCCTTCTCAAATCAATTCACCGCCGATAATTTCTTTTCTTTCTCGTGTTTATAAATCCGTTAGGTAAAAAAACCTTGTTTCACTTTTTAAGTTTTATATTGAGACCGTATTTCATTTTAAAAACCGAATTATCTTGTAGAAATAGGAACATTTTTATAGATAGTGTTGAGTTAAAAGATTTAATTTGATTTCATTAATAAATATTAGAATTTATTTCTTGGCAAATTTAATACCGTTTCTTTAAAGGGAATATAATTTGATTTAAATAATAAATAATAGGATTTAGTTCTTTAATAATTGGAATACCGGGTATTTAGACTTTTGATCGTTAGTCTGTACTAAGAAATTAATTTTTTCTTTTTAGTAGGTTAAATCGGGAATTAAATTTGATTTTATTGATAAATACTTTTGTTTAGTAAGTGCTGCGTTGTAATTAAGTTGGGAATATTTATAAACGAAGTTTTCGAGGAGACGTTTTCC